GGAAACGAGGCTGCATGGGAAATAGACCATCAATCAAACTCGCTTCCACGCGCGGCCGACTGGCTATTATTCACGAGTGAACTAAGAAATGGCGTTCACGGCTATCCGAAGATGAAGTAGCTGAATTTCTAACTAAAACTGCACGGAATAAATGTAAAAATACACAAAATATATCGCTCGTGGATAACATCCTCCTCGATCTGCATAATTCTTTACATCCAACTTAGCCTCATTCGATAATTGCTAAATATGTAACAATCGAACACTCTAAAATAGCTCTGGTGTGTTGTCTCGCCTTAGCTCACTGGCAATTGAATGACATAGCAATTTTCTGTTTCCCCCAATTTGATTTTCGCTGTAACATTGCATTTTTGATGTGATGTGTAAACAGCACAATAAGTGTATTCCTTTCTTACAAAAATAACGTTAGAGGTTTACCAAATACTAAACAAAGTTCATATACAAAGAACTCCGGCGCTGCCATACGTGTGGATGATAGAATGTGCTTAGCATAAGCAGAAAATCAGATCGGAGGTGAATAACATGCATATTATCTTGGTGTTTCGTAAAGAGTTGATTTAATGTATAAGACAAGAGCTCTCCGCTCGCATTTGAATTAGTGATATAAAATTTTCTTTACGAATCTTAATGATCCTTAGAAATGTTATATTTGTTAACAGTAGATAACAGCAAACCTGTAAGATTATAGGTAAATTTAGTAATTTTTGTAAAAAAAGAAAAAATAATTATGTAATTACAATATAGAGTAACAGGAACTTTAATTCTTTTATAGCCCAAATTTTTTTTTGTAATTACCCATTTTTGTATATTATTTGTCCTGTATTCATTATTTAGTTATGGTCATTTTTTGTAGCAATCAAATATTAAGTACTGTACCTTACCTTTATTGTAAACAGACCAATACCTCTATTTGAAGAGGCAATAAAGATTTTGTTTCTCTGTTAAAAGGATTGACGTTGCCTACATACCTGCATATAAACATACCTGAGAAGATCGCGAAAAAGGACGTGATTTGCACAGTACACTGGGGTCCACACACGTCCAAGTTCTATATTTTATTTATTTCTTTTCTTTTCTTCAGCTGTGAGCTACGGTAAGAAACAATTGAGGCGCTGATGGCCTGGCTGCGTTTTTCTATACGAGTCGACCTCAGCCAGCAGATGTACCTTAGTTGTTTTCTTTCGTTAACCCTTACGAAGATAGCCTGAATGGTCTTAATGTTCGTTCGCCGCCTCCTCAAGTCGCACTACCGTAAGGCGGGATGTTACTAAAACGAGGAACGGGAAACGGGGAACGGGGAACAAGAAAATGAAAAATGAGAACAAAACCTAACCCAACTTAAGGGGCTTTAGGAGGGTACATAAAACGAAGGGGCTTATATCCGTGGGGCTTATAATCGAATGTATTTTTGTTTACAGGTAGATGGGCCTATAAATTTTTGGCAAGGAGCTGGGGGAGGGGTTATGATTAAGGGCTTATAAGTTGGATTTTAAAGTTTATATTTCACCTGATAGAAGAACTATCGTGCGTTACACCGAGTAATTCACGTATTTTCGTTCTTATGTCACCTTTTTTTTTCACTCGCTAGTTTCCAAATTCTCAAAGTTACTGTAAAGTCTTAACAGTACTATCATGTTGAGGTAAATTTGGTATTTATTGCATGCACCGTTAAAAATTGAGGTTTCATTTGCATCAGATCACGCATAGGATTAAAAAGTCACACGTGCACAGTACATATAATAATAGCATCTAGAAGTGAAATCGTTGAAATGGTAACTTATTACGGTCTAGAATAAATTGTTTCTTAAAACGATGTTACTTGTCGCATAATTTGTAGAAAACGCGCAATGAATTTAATTGCGATAACTGCCGTTTGGTGGCGAAACATGTCGCGTTCACGTGAAAGTAGACTGCGCAGTTCACGGAAACAGCAGACAAAAGTAACCGCCGCAGCACGCGCTCGAACTTTAAATAGATTTCAAATAATTATCATGGTGTACTGTGATTTGCTCTCTTAGCTGATTCTTGATAAGTATAGGGGCGCAGGTGATGATACATAAATTTTCCCTATTTCTAGTTGGAAGTTTTTATAAGGAGCAGTCAGTTTTTTTAATGAAAGCTTTTGTTTTGAAGCAAATAACAGATTGATGACGCAGCCAAAACGACATCTCGTCTTTGTGTTTTTAGAGGCCGAGCTAGGCCGGTGAATATCATGATAAAAGATATCGTGGAATTTGATCAGCAGGTAGCTATAATTCTCTTTCTGATAAGACTAGTTTGGATTGTAAATTGCTTGGAGGCCCTTGCAAACAGGATAACCGATACCTGCTTTGCAGGTGAGGGTTGCCTTTGTTCATTTGGCCGCATTAAAGCCTCGGACAAGTATTAAGACTGAACAAACAAGAGAATGCGAGAAAAAAGTAGCGAAAGATTGAGTTATAACGTGCACAATGATTAACTGAGATGGTTAGCACTACAGCTATTGTAATATGCAGTATTGCCGCATTTGAGTCACTCCTCACTCTAACTGCCAACACCTTCACTGTATACATTTTCTGGTCTCATCGAAACAAGCTAAAACGCACTTCGTTTTTGCTAATTAACTTGGCTGTAGCGGATTTGCTCATCGGCTTTACAGAACCAGTAGCGATCGGAACAGTCGGAATACCACAGCGATTTGGCCAAGAATTCTACGGGAATGTTTCAACCACATTTCAAGCCGAATGTTCGCTACCATTTCAGTCACCTGCCTCGCTCTAATTTCCGTGGAACGAGCGTTTACATTTATTTGCCCATTTCGACATCGAGTGATAAGCACTCGAGCTTACATCCACAGTATCATTTTTGCATGGTTTTCAGGAATAACTGTGAGTGCATTCACTTTGCTCGCTGTAAATGGAGTAGTGGATTTTATCCATTGGTTAGTAGTCTATTGCTGTATTTTAGCTTCATGTTTGCTGACTATATGTGTTACCAAGAGCCATAATAGGACAGAGAGGGACACCCACAGTCACGCCTTTGGGATATCTTAATCCCAAAAAAGTTATTTTTAGAACTATGCGGACCATGCGGCAACAGTTTCCGGTAAATTGGTTGACTTCCGGAAGATTCAGCGCGCCAAATCGAGGCGGGGTCAATAAATGAAAAAAATGGCTGCTAAAGTGGAGGGACAATGCGGAGGGTGTGTACTTGATAAATTGTCCTTCTTCAACGAAGAACATACCATAGAAAATAGTTAAAACTTCTACACAAACGGATCCTTTACAAGAAACGGTAGAAATACAGTTAAAGCGACCGCGTGGACCATCGTTTTTGTTGGAACGGCTGGAAAGAGGACAAGTAGCATTGCGTTTTACACAAAATGCGCGGGTCCTACAAAGACGACCGTACAAGCGACCGTGTGGACGTATTTTCTGTTGAAAGAGGAAGGAAAAAAACGTATAAAGGTTTCCAGTATTTTTCTCAAGGACATGACCAGGAATCAAGTGGAAAACACCTTTCCCTGCCTTGACTGATATTTGGTACCGTACTTCACATTGGACAATTAACAATTATTCTTGAACACGAGGTGAATAGAAGCGGAATATTCGCGGCGAGGTTAATATTCCTAAAGCCACTATTCAGCAAGATTAAAAATCAGTAAGGAGACCATTTAAGTTCAATGTGATTGACGGTTTTGACGGATCAATTCATGTGTGAAAATCGGTATGTGCAAAAGTTTGATCTTTACAGAATTTTCAAACATTGCAAATCAAATGGCAGTTAAAAATCCTTTCGCAAACAATGGCCTAATAATGGGTTATATGGAATAGCCAGAACTTTAAATTCTGCTTCCCAGCCTGTGAAGAAAAGAAGAGCTTTGTTTTCATCTGTCGACTCGCCAAGTTAGGGAAGCAGCAAATTTGTGTTGTTCTTTAATAAGTGCAGACAATGGTGGCCCGGTTGCTCGAGGTAAGGCGCCGTTTCTCTGTAGTTTTCTTGACATTGAAATCTCGAAATTTCGTAAAGATTTGCTTTTAATTTTTTTTTTCACAAGCTGAATTTGATTTCTGGGAAAAATTCGCCTTTGAAGGAAATGTTGAGTTTACACAGGGTCTACACAGATACCACCTCTTCTATTCAATTTGTAATTGTCAACATTCCATCGAGCGAAAAATACTGCTCAGTAAAGTTAATCGGAAAACGTTCTTGAATACTTTGAAGTCTTCCTTACCTTCAAAAAAAAAGACCCTAGCGAATTCTGAAAGGTTCTTACTCTAAAAAAGATTGGCAAAACACCGAGCTATCTCATTTTTTACTCGAGAGGCTAAAACACCACAAAGATCACTGAATTCTGAAAACGATTTTTGCTTGTAAAAGCTTTATTTGTGTAAGGCAGAAGCATATAACCCCGAAGCGTATAACTCTGTCGCAATGCTTCTGTGTAAGGTTATTTGTGTTTTTTCATGTTGAAATAAATACTACAGTATGATAATCTCATGTGGCGTTTATTTGCTTTATGTGGTTTTACCAAGCCTAATATTTTCCTCATACACCTGTAATAATGAACTTTTACAGATCCTGCACCACAATGTGTAGGTAAGATTTCCATACAACCCCAAGCATTCATTATGTGTGTTAAATAATGTAAGCTTGCTGTATGTATAATAAATGTAGGGGTTTGAATGCAAATCGTACCACAGCATAATTCAAACTTCAGGCATTCGTGGATGCACAGGACCTTTTGATGTTGTGTTTGCCACTTAGTGATCCAGCAAGTTTTCTCTATTTTAGTAAGCACTCATGTTTTTAGGTGTCAGCTGCTGAATGTAGTCTTTTCTTTTTTTCATTATAGAAAGCACTCAAAAGTATTAAGAATAAAAACTACTGCAATAAGTTCAAGCTGTTTATAGCTTCTTACTGAGTTGTGTCTTATTTTTTTTTTACCCCCTCCCACACAGAAAAAAATACAAACTTATAATAGTGTATGGCAAAACCTGTATATTTAAGCGGACCCCATATTAAAAGTTACATCCTATGTTAAGCAGATGAATAGCTCAGTATGTTTGAAAAGTTTCTAACCATATTTTCAGAAAAAACAATGTTTTCAAAAATAAATCTATCCATACCCATTTTAAGGGGTATTTTCTTTGTGTTAAAAGGTTTCAACCAATCATTAGAGCTGCAAACATTATAGCCAACTGAAGAAAACTTTACATTAATTTTATGTTCCAGACATGCATGGGATATCTGTTTTATCCAGACTCATAAGATTTTGTTATAAGGATTCATATACATGCTGCTTTGCAAATTTTTCTTGAATTTTGCTGCCTATAAACCAATCAGAAGTATAATACAGACAATAGTAAAGTGAGCACCTTTTTGCATTTCAACATGTTGAAACATTGACTTTATTGATATTAATGTTGCATTTCTGATGCTCTTAAAGCCGAGTCTGCAGGCAGAGCAAGTTTGTGTGATCTTTTGCTTTTAAGGCATCCACCATGACAACCCAATCTTTCCCCTTAAATAATCTAATAAATTCACATGTTGCTGGCCTGCACATTATGATTGATCAGGCCTCATGCAACCATTAAGACACCACAGGAAAGTTAAGCTGATCAGTATTTGAGAATATGACCTTCATTGAGGAAGGGTTTAAGTTAAAAATGGCAGTATCACATTAAAATAAAACCTTTGGTCACACCTTGACCTCTTAATTAAGTCAACTGAGTTTCTTTCATTGGTGAGACAATCAATTTATGCACTTGCATGCCAGGGTTGCATTGAGAGAAACATTCTGGAGCAATAAAACATAGTGTGTGACTGAATCAATTGCATCTATTCATGCCATGGCTTGAAAGAGGCAATGTAGGGGAAAGCATCTAGAAGGAGACAAATTAATAGTAATGTAGTGTGTACAATAACATGTGTAGGTTGAGTTTGATCATCCGGGTGAACGTAGTCCTGAATAGGACTGTTGTTGTTGACAGTGACTACGTTCACCCGGACGATCAAACTCAACGTACTTTTGAAATGACTCCTGGGTTCAAACCTTTCACAATAATGTGTGTGTCACTCAGTAATGGTCACACTCTTCCCAGTATTCCTCAAATTTCAAATCCCAAATGCATTGGCAGCCATATAGTTTAACAGAAGTATAAAAAATAATAAATAAATAAATAAGTGCTCCCTTGCCCCAAAATATAGAACTTGCACTGTTTGTCAAACTTGTACATTATTTTCCCCAGTACCAATTCCGTGGCAAGGTCATGCAGAGATCTTAAAAGAGAATTCATGATTGCTAGTATTATTGTTCCTTCAATTCAACCTGTCAGAAAACAACAGAAAAGTTTGCAGACACTGAAAGACATATAGACTGCAAGCAGTCTCTCTTTTGCTTGAAAATGTGTAAGCAAGAGTATTTGAGCAGCGTATTCGAATTTGCGCCCTCGCAACTCACACAACTTCGCTGCTCAAATACTCTCGCTTACAGATTTTCAAGCTGAAGAGAGACTGCTCACAGTCTAAAAGACACACAACATAAAATGATGTACCAGTTTTATGAAACCTTTACATATTGTATTTTATATTATATCTTCAGGGAGGGAGCCAGCCTGGCATAAGGACTCAGTTCTTCTCTCTTTGCACCCTCACTCATCCTTCTTTTTACCACCTATTTTTATGCATACAAGGTTGTTATAAATAAAAAAAAACCCTGTATAATTTTTAGAATTAGGGGGACATCCACACAAACTTTGCTGCTTTCTGCTTATTAGAGATATCCACTAAATACTGGTTTGTTTTTCTTAAATTGTGGAAAGAAACGTTTTGCCACATTTTGAGCTATTCGACTGCTGAATACAGGGTGTCTGCTTAATATGGGGTCTGCATACCATACAATGTAGAAGATGAGTTAATTAGGCTTTCACTGAGGAGGGGAGGTACAAGAAATAAGACATAATTATAAACAAGAAGCTATACACAGCTTGAACTTATTGCAGTAGTTTATATTCTTATCACTTTTGAGTGCTTTCTATAGAGAAAAAAAGAAAAGACTACATTCAGCAGCCGACACCTAACACCACGAGTGCTTACTAAAGTAGACAAAACTTGCTGGATCAATAAGTGGCAAACACAACATCAAAAGGTCCTGTGCATCCAAACCCCTATATTTATTTTGCATGCAGCAAGCTTATATTATTTAACACACATAACAAATGTTTGGGGTTGTATGGAAATCTTACCTATACATTGTGGTGCAGGATCTGTAAAGGTTAATTATTACAGGTGTATGAGGAAAATATGAGGCTTGGTAAAACAAACTCCAGATGAGATTATCATACTGTCGTATTTATTTCAACACCGTTTGCAACATGAAAAACACAAATAACCTTACACAAATAAAGTTTTTACAAGCAAAAATCGGTTTCAGGATACACACTCAGTGATAGTGTTTTAACCTCGCGAGTAAATAATTCGTGAGCTCGTTGTTTTGCTAATTTTTTTAGAGTAAGAACCTTTCAGAATTCGGCAAAATCCTAGGGTCCACTCTTTTGAAGGTATGAAAATACTTCAAAGTTTCAATATTTTTTGCTCGATGGAATGTTGACAATTACAGTTTAATCGAGTAGAAGGGGTGGGTGAACTCAACATTTCCGTTAAAGACAAATTTTCCCCCGAAATCAAATTCAACTGACTTATGAGAAAAAAAACTGAAAGCAAATGTTAACGAAAGCTCGAGATTTCAATTAAACAGGGCAGAGAAAACTACAGAGAAACGGCTCCTTACCTCAAGCAACCGGGCCACCATTGTCTGCACTTACAAAGAACAGCACAAATTAGCTGCACAAAAAACCTTTTTCCTCTAACTTGGCGAGTCGACAGATGAAAACAAAGCTCTACTTTTCTTCTTAGGCTTGAAAGTACAATTTAAACTTCTGGCGATTCCATATAACCCATATAGGCTATTGTTTCCGATTTGATTTGCAATGTTTGAAAATTCTGTGAAGATGAGACCTATTGTTTACCGATTTCCACGCATGATTTGATCTGTCAATCAAATTGAGCTTTTTGGTTTCTTTACTGATTTAGGAACATTAACCTCCGCTTCTATTAACCTCGTGTTCAATAAAGAATTGCTAATTGTCCAATGTGAAGTGCGGAACAAAATATCACTCAAGCAGGAAAAGGTGTGTTCCACAAGATTCCCGGTCACGTCCGTGACAAAAATACTGGAAACCTTTATACGTTCTTTTCCTTCCTCTTTCAATAGAAAATACGTCCACATGGTTGCTTGTACGGTCGTCTTTGTAGGACCCGTGCATTTTGTCTTCAACGCTTATCCGGGCCGCAATGCTTCTTGTCCTCTTTCCAGCTGTTCAAACAAAAACGATGGTCACGCGGTCGCTTTTACCGATTTCTACCGTTGCTTGTAAAGAACCCATTTGTGTAGAAGTTTTAAGCAGTTTTTATGGTAGGTTCTTTGTTGAAGAAGGCCAATTTATCAACTTCACATCAACCCTCCACTTGTGCCGCCATTTTTTTTTATTTGTTGACGCCGCCTCGCTTTGGCGCCCTGAAATCGTGAAAGCGAGTCTTCCGGAAGTCAACCAGTTTACCGGAAACTGTTTTCGCATGGTCCGCATAGTTCTAAAAATAACTTTTTTGGGATTAAGATATCCCGGCCAACGCCCTGAGTGTCCCTCTCTGTCCTATTATGGCTCTTGGTGTTACTTAGTTGATAGTCAGAAGAAAGGTTAATACTTGTCGACTGGATCCTGCAATGGTGAAAAATCACAGCAAAAACAGAGCTAATGATGAGAAACATCGTAGCACTAAATTTTCCAGGACTATGTCTATTATGATAGCTGTATCTCTTGGCCAGTCAGTGGCTTCCAAGCACCGCAATTTTTTCTGTTCACAGCTTTTATGCCATAGATGTGTCCCAATACCTCTTATCTACGCTTCTACAGTATTACGCCTGGCCAACTCTCTCGTCAATCCTGTCATACAGGTTTAGAATATCGACTTTATGAGAAGCAGTAGGTAACTTGATGTTAAATAAACAGTCAAAGGAATACAAAATTAACTGCTAGTCTTGAAATATTATATTTTATAATTATTTTAGATTTTCCAAAATGAGTAATAAGAAAATGCCGGCCATGATTGTTATCTTAAAGAACAAAAGAGTTGCCTTTATTTCGTTCAATTTTTCACTTGTTTTACTTCCTTTAAGCTTTACTGTCAATAAAACTGGAGTTTCTTTGAGCCTTGAAATCTAAACAGGATTTTAAAAAAATCTTAATCATAAACTCATGTTCTTATAAGATTTTAGAATCAGTTAATTTTGTTCGCATTGACTTACTTTCTTCCAACGTAGTGAGCTCATAAAAGTGAGGTGCCAACGACGATCTTTATTTCGTTGGAGACTAGAGGGCACATAATAACATTGCATAACATAAATAAGATAAGGCACAAAAAATTGTGTTTTGGCAGTTCATTGGGACGTTGGGCTACGCTTTGGTGATTTATCAGTGCTTGACTTTTTTATTTCCCCATGGAAATTTCGCCATTCGCTCTCTAAAACTTTCCAGTAGTCTTTCGAAAAATGATGTTTCTTAATGTCTCCCAATTACAATTGCGAACTGGTATAAAACGTACGTCATATCCCAATATTGATCAGTTCCACTTTAATAGGGACGAACCATTAATTTTTTGACTGGAGGAGGGGGTGGAAAATTTTGAAATAAATTGTTTGCAGAGGCAGTAAACACTGAAATAAATTGTATGCAGGTAAAAAAAAATGTTTGCATGTCAAAATTTTCCAACACTCCCTGTCAAAAAAATAATGGTCTGTCCCTTATAATGTCACCTGTCTCGGGTTATCCTTTGATTTCAAGGGTTTTCATTTTCGTCAAGCAGTATAAACAGGAGAAAGGATATTAATAATTAGCTGGTTGGTGTAAAAACTAAGTAAGGCTCTATTCATCTCAAAAGGGTAGTTTCTTCAAGTTTTTGATAGTAACCAAGCCGAGCTCATTTTTTCTTTTTTTTAAATATACTTGTACTAAAAATATTGCCAAGAAGTACCCCAGTCATTTCTACGTTAATAGTGATAATGATGACGAAATAAAACCAAAACGTCAAGTTGAAAGTCTGAAAAACTCTTTGATCGTGAAGTACCAAGAGCTCAGTGCTCATAAATATGTCAATTGACACTGGTGAAACTTGACCACGCCCAAAGCCAAGGAGGCTTTGAGTAAGTGGCACACGTTCTCCAACCCGTACGGCTTTGTTCTTTTATTTTATAGGCCTGACCATTACCATGCTCACTGATCACTAATAAGAACAACATAGCTTTCCGTGGCTGCCACTGCCCAATGATATGTTTGTGCGGATGCATTAGGTACAAGCCAGGCTGTGTGCCCTCTTTACTTGCTCTTAAGATAATCTATTATTATCTTATACTATGCTCTTCTAAAATGTGCTAAACGTTTTGGACGTTAACTGCGCCCTTGTCACCACCATTTTCAACATCTGCTTGGAACTCCGTTGCAGAGTAACCGTAAACGTCCGCTTATAAGCCCGTCCCCCAGTGATAGGCGCATCTACCTGTAACCCTCTCCTCTGCAGAGGCCTCTTTGTAGCGCGCGGGGCACGATGGCAAGTGGACAGATAGAAGAGAGACTCCCGCCTTTTCCCTCCTCCCATCGTGCTCCGCGCGCTTTCTATTTTTCGATTATTGCTATTTTCATTGGGATACCCAGCGAGGGCCTCTGCGAGGAGAGAGTACCTGTAAACAGAAACGTACTTCCGTTTATAAGCCCTGAGTGGAATCAATCGTCCAGAAGATATAGTATGTAGTTGAGGAGAATAAGAGAAAATCGACCAATCAGCTCTATGGAAGGTTTGTTAGTTACGACCTTAATGGCTTACTCCTGGATAGCGTGAGACGTTTCAAGGTTTACGGAATGGCAAATTCTGCTAGCTCCTGTTGCTCAGACGTTGAATAGTACTATCTACCGGATAAATCACTACCCAGCGAATAATTGGGGAAACTAATTGCACTATCCACTGGATAGAGATTTATCCGGTGGATAGCGCTATCCAGCCTTTGGACAACAGAGGCCTGAACTGTAAGCTGAACTAAGAGAAAATGAGAGGATGATTTCCTAATCGTTCCAAATTAAAACAAACTGCAAGCATGTGTTGTGGTAAAGAGTACTGTAAAGCCCCCAAAATGATCCCGACCCCGAAATGACCCCCAACCCTTAAATGATCCCCAATTCTACCTCAAAATGATACCTACCTCGAAATGATCCCCATTTCTCTTAAGTTCGTCCATGAAATGATCCCCAATTAATTTTAGGAATGAAATGATATCGCCATAGAATTCTGGATCGAGCAAAATGTAACCCGACATTAATTTGAGTTTCACTATTTAATAATCTTCACTTGTTTGCATTCTTTAATGACATTAATTTGGGATTACCCTTTGTATTGGATTAAAAGAAAATATTATTTACAGATGTAATACACAGAGTCTATTATATTTAAGAAACACCATGAACTGCAAATGATAACATCAAGAATTTAAAAATATTCCGGCTATGCATAACATTTTTAGCATAATTACGGTACATACATTAGGTGATTATAGCCTGGGTTATAGAGAAAACTGCATGGATTAAATTCTAAACATGATATTGAAACTGCATGCCTTCGATAATGAATTTTAAAAATGGTGTTTTAACACTTTTTAAAAATTTAAAGTGCAAAAATAGACATAAAGGCATTTAGATGACAAAAGCGACAAAAAAATTAGATAAACCCCTGTTGTGTACTGTTATACACCTGTAAGTGCGATTCAAGAACGTAAACGCCGTAGCCCGGCTGTGTACAGATCCCTCTCTCCTGAGGAAAAATCGGAAAAGGGGCTTCTGTGATTCACCGTCACTAAGGCGTGTATGGGAATAATTATGCATAAATTTACAAAAAAGTAGTTTCGGCCGACCAAAATTTTCATGGCTCACGCTTTGATTGGTCAGTTATCTTTTCTTCTCGTTCCAAATATGGTACTTTCGAAAATGAATAATCACGAGCATCAGAGAAAGCAAACATATGAGAGTTACACGTTTCAACACCTTATGAGTTTCAGTGTACCTTACTACATGCGTTACTTATTTTAGTTGTCCAAAGAAAGGTTGTACGTATACTAGAGCAGAACAAAGCACTAAACTTTCAGGACTCTGTTTATTATGATAGCTGTGTCTTTTGGCTTCCAAGCATCATATTTTATCTACGCTTCTTAAGGTTACGTTGATTTCCACTGACGCGTTTTTGGCTCTCTGCGCACGTTAACGGACGTAAATTTTAAGCACGTTGAGTTACGCTTCCGAGCGACCTTTCATGCATTGCCTCTATCTTATTTACTAACGTAAATTTTACGCACGTACGCACGTAAAAATTACGCGCCCTTACGGTATATTTTTCCACTGACGCGCAACTTAGACGTGCGTACGTGCGTAAAATTCTAGGGGGGGGGGGTACTCCCTATAATGGCTTATACGGGGAGGCTCCGCTCGAAAGGGGTACCTTTATCAGGCTCAGGTATATGAAAGGGTAGGGATTTCACTCGTTGAAGTATATGAAAAGGTTGGGAAATCGGTCATTTTTAATTGGGTCTACGAAAGAGCCTAAAAGGGCTAACAGATGAATTTTATGGCTTTATAAAGGCGTGAAAACGTTCCGTTTTTGCGATTTATTCCCATTATAGCTAGAGACCGAGCATTTAAAAGGGATGCAAAGGGATGCAAAGTACTAAACAAGGTATGTGAAAGGGGTACAATTTGTCAATAGAAGGCATACGAAAGGGGTTCCTTTGTCGTAAAAAATAGTATATAAAAGGGTAAGGTGTTGGACCTCGGGGCGGAGCCTCCCCGTATAAAAATTTGTTGAGTACCCCCCCCCCCCGGTAATAAATCCCCCCCCCCCCCCCGGTAATAAAAAATAGAAAATTAATGTATGAAAGATTGCGCGTAAAAGTAAAAGTTGAACCTCGCTCAACTTCACGTTTAAGCGAAACAGTTCATAGCTTGTCTCTACTTCATTTACGCCGAGTAAGAGCCTGTTTACATGGAGGTGGGAGACCCCAGGTAGGTGTGGTAACCCGCTTGGGTGGGGTAACCCGCCAGTCCATATATTCTCTCATTTTAATTTGATCACGTTTACATGATTGGTGGGGTGACCCGCCAAGGCGGGTAGCCCGGTCTGGCAGACCGCGCGTTAAAATTAGCACGCGACAGTGGAAATCTACCCTAAAATACTAGACCTTCTAGCAATATTTCTTTCGAGTGATTTTAAAATCATCTTTATTATTGTGGCAAGTTGAATATTTTTTTACAATATAAATTCTTCTAGAACTATGGGCCTAAAATTTCTTTTTTCTACACCTGACGACTAAAGTTTCGGCTCTTTAGTTTCAGCGAAAGATTGAGATATAACATGCAAGTGTAAAATGACTCACAAAGGGAATTGTGTGCTATAGCTAGCACTACAGCTATTGTAATATGCAGTATTTCCGCATTCGAATCACTCCTCATTCTAACTGCCAACACCTTCACTGTTTTAGCATTTTCTGGTCTCATCGAAACAAACTAAAACGCACTTCGTGTTAGCGGATCTGTTTATCGGCTTCATCCAGAAAGCGATCAAAACAGTTGATCTACAACTATTCGTAAAACTTTTATTTTCTACACTTGACGTCTAAATTTTTGGCTCTTGACTACCCTCAAAAAAGATTTATTGTTTCAATGTTCATTTACTCTTTTACCCGCCGGCGTTCGGATAATTCTCTTCATTCCGCACATTCTTAATATCATGCACGGCCGCTTTCGATTCAGTTAGAGGGCATAAACAAAGAAGATTAATATACATGTTTATTCATTTTATTAATATATCGAAAGTGTTCTAATATCGTACACGAACTGGTTAAACACAGGCCAGTAAAAGAACTAGAGTTAAGAATATCCAGATCGATTTTGATAAAAGCATGTCTGCAATTATATCAGCTATATTTAAAGCCACCATCGGCTTGATTGTGGATAAAGGAAGAGATGTAGCAGCGGAGAGGATGAAAGAAGGTGACGTGGCTGATCAGAAGTTTCGCAGCTTGATCGTGCGTGATTTGAAAGAGATCCACAACAAGTTGGATGCATTATCACAAAAGGATCTTAAGGCAGCTGTAGACTTCTTTGAAACAGGACTCGAATGTCTTTACAGGGCATTCGATACAATGCACAGTGCTAATGTTAGTTTGGGAGCAACAAAGGTATCTGAAAGAAATGAAGAAGAGGACCTGAAAGAAATAACTTTGCCCTCGGACACTGACCCTGAAAAGACAATAGTCGTCGCAGATGGAATAAGAAGCATGCAACTAACTGAGTTGGATGAAACAACGAAAAGTCTGCTTTCTAAGGCAAAAGAGAAATTCAGATTAGCTGTTGAATACACAACACACGCCTGCAACAATGAATCCCTCAGCACGTTTGACCGAATCACTGCCATTCGATATCGTGTAATGTCGTCAATGTTAGAGTCAGCCACTGAAACAGCGAGGACCACAGGTGACTTAAAGAGCACTTTAATAAGAGCATTACCAGACTGCGAACAGTGTCTGAGGAAGCTCAATTCTTTACCTCCTGTTCAGAACAGCTTTAGAGTCGAGCTCAATAAAAGTCCCCTAAACATCAGAGGTCGGTTTGGTAAAGAAGAACGGATGCAGATAATTTCCACTGTATGTCAAGTAAATCGCACTATCTACGATGCCATGCAAACGGCTGGTAAAGCTAAGGACGTACATGTCTTGAAGTGGCCATATGTTGACATCGGAGAAGATAATGTTGACCCTCTGCGGGATGTAAGAGTATTACAACTTTTGAGGAGAGTTAATATGGAGCATTACTGCATTACAGTGGGGTGGTCGTTTGGTGTGGGATGCAAGCTTTTGTTCTGGACTATGGCTACGAACACCCTGGGACAGTTTCTGATTGCAAAAACCTGTGGGAAAACCGTGCATGTTTATGATAAGAATGGTACGTTTCAGTTTAGTTTTAATTCCCCAACTGATGATGCTAAAACAGAGATTGAAATTGCTAATCTCGTCACTGAAGACGTAAGCGAGAAGATCTATCTACAGGTCAAACTGAAGAGGCCTGGAGCTAAAGAATGGGAGGGCGAAGTGCAGGTTTTTAACAAGACCGCTGACCTTGAGTACAAGTTTCCTGCGAGATACGCGCGCATGGAGAGACTTATAGTTAGTGGCAGAAATCTACTAATATTGGGATCCAGTGAGGCTGATGTATACAACCAGAATGGTGAGTTTGTTCGTAGTTTTGAGTTTTTCAAGAGTGGAGGCGACAAGTATTTAGATGATTGCACTGCTACTCACGATGGTCGCATCTTGATAATGCACCAAAGAGAAGATTTCAGCGATTACCACTGTGTCCATGTATTCACAATGGAGGGACAGGAGATTGCAAAATTTAAATCTGGCGTCGGATTAGATTTAGCCTCCATGCGCTTTTCACCTCGCTCTGCAGGTGAACATGTTGTCATCGCTGGTCACAACCGTCATGATAGGCTCATAACAGTGGAGATATACACTGTGGATGGAAAACTTGTGCGAAGAATTCTGCTTCGTGATGAACGTGGACTTTATTTTAGAGGAATTACGGTGACCATGGAGGGACACATTGCTGTGGGTTTTGCAGGTAGGAGAGGTGACCTTGACAAGATAGTCCTCTATTAACACCTAAAAGAAGCGGCTTTTTAGCTCAACACTATTGTCAGGAATTTCATTCAAAACAACTCCTGATCGAGCTACAGCACTGACCAGCTTTTTCTTTTCAATAATTGATACCTCTATGTATTTATAAAATCTCTTCAGACATATCTACAGTAGGTTAATACTGTTAACTCATTAAGCCCCGCTGTCCTAATACAGATTTTCCAGACTGGTCGTTGCACATATGACTAAAGAATAAGTGGAGAGAATTTGACAAAAGATCCAAGTTTTCTCCCTTGGTGATTATTTTAGTTATTGCAACAAACTTTTTTCTCGATTGTGTATTGATGATGTTTGGAGAAAATTGATGTTAGTCATTCCTGTGACTTAAACGAAATAAAGATTTAGTACTTTTACTGTTACAAGGATTGGCGTTTCCTTTTTATCTGAAATTAAAAGGATTAGATTTGCATACTAACTAATTGTGGATACCTTTTAGGAGAGGACCATCAATTATAAATCGGTTTTAACTTCAAGATAAGTTTGAGCAACAGAGATCAAGCTCACTGTCTCTTGATTACGGAAAAACCCCCAAACTGACTTATCAAGCTATCTTTTGAAGAAGATACTGAGAGAGTGACTTTTCATTCAAGCGATCAATGCCGTGTCACCCTTGTTTCCCAGCAGTTATTCATGTATGATTTTGTGGCTGTGCGTAAAACAGATTGGTCTTAGGAGTGATTCTGTAGTTGCAACTACAGAATTTAACCACTTGCAATGGCCAACACTGCGAATTGTAAATAGGACAATTGTAAATCTCCCTTATTTTGTCTTTTGTTTTTGCCCAAATTTTTTTTAAACACCATAACACGCAATAGTATGACATATAAAGTGCGATCAGGCGTTTTTTTTTTTCGGGGAAAGGGCTCGTCACCCAAAACAAAAAGGGAAGAACCTCGACTCACCTCGAACCTCCACTAACGGTCACCTCTCCACAACGACCAATTTATTTTGTCCCGGCGAACAGTCCATACATTTGCTCTTATTTAAATCTCTCCATAACGGCTACCTCTCTACAACCGCAACGGCCACTAACGCATGTCCACAACTGCCAAAACAACCTCTCCATAACGGCCAGTTTTTTTTCTGCGACGGATGAAAAAGTCAAGAATGGTCACTGAATTGATCAGTGTGGCACGTTTATGATCAATCCTGGCAATCGTTTCTTGGTTTTGTTTCATTTATACTGTTGAAGTAAGCATAAATTTTCTTCGATCGATACTGAATGTTGCGAAGTAACCTTGCTTGTTTCGTCACGCGTTACGTTAGCCTCGATTCAAGACATCATTCAAGCTTTTTGTGTATTTTATCTCCATACATTACATGGTTGGATTACCTTGATGGATTACCATGGATTACCATGTAAGCATGAACGTTAACTTAGCCGAAGAAACATGTTTTATATTTTACCTGAGGTGAAGATTGTCATATTACAACCCTACCCCCCCCCCCCCCCCCAACACACCCCCCCCCCCACCCCCCCCCCTTTTTTTCCCCTCAGCGGCGGCCCCGGGGGGGGGGGGCTCTTCTTCTTCTCTACATCATTTTTTTTTTCTATCTTTTATTAGCATATTTTTTAAGAGGAGAGCGGCTTGGGTGAGAGGGGTATGCATCTCGGCGGTCGCGGTCTCACCCCCCCCCCCCCCCCCCCCCATAACAGCCACCTCTCCACAACGGTCACTTTTTTCTGTCCCAAAGGTGGCCATTGTGGAGAGGTTCGACTGTATGTAACTTCCAATCATTGTTTTTACATCTATCTAGTGAACATTTTATAACGAAAGTCTTTTTAAGGCCTGTTCACAGGCTACTCTGCTTGGTCAGTCCCTTGACTTGTCCTTTTAACTATCATATAAAATATCGGTGTCAAAATTAACCCGCGATCATGCATGACCTTTTTTTTTATATCTGACGTTAAGCAAAGTTGATCGTGCGTGGTTTTTGCAGTAGATTTTAACTTTTTAACTTGGCAAAAACATATTATTTTATTTCAGAAAAACGACAGTTGTTTTTCCATTTACTATCCATTTAAAATAGTCGCTACAAATTGTCTTTGACTTCAGGTAGCACAGTGTTTTTTTTTTATCAGCGAGATGAAAGCTCAAGGAATACTTTTCTTCCCAAACCGAACAGAATAGTATTTGTTTTATCATGTATCCTCCGATTTTGTACCTCGTGACCTCTCTCCTCCTCAGAGACCCCCGCTGGATACAACTTAAAATAGCGCTTTCATTTTCAGTTCCCTCTCCCCAGCCTTCTTAAGACAAAAAGAGGCGGCCACTGCGAAGGAGAGAGAGACTCGTGACTAGTTTTATCCAATCAGGACCCTTTCAGCTGAGTGAATAGACTGCGAGCAGTCTCTCTCTTCCTTCAGTTTTGGTGAGGGGAGTGCACACTCGCGTGAGCGTCACTCGCGTGGTCATTTGCGTGTCTCGCGTATTTCACTCCACGGAATAAGAAAAAAGAGAGACTGCTTGTAGTCTACTGAGTCGGTGGTCGCTTTCAGTTTGCGGGGAAAACAATCGAGATACATTCCAGTTTTCTATCACATTCATGAGGCTTCAGATAGGTTTGAAACCTACTTGTTTAAATGCTGTACTTGGTGTGTCATTAAATCACTAAAAAGCCTTGCCTCACCCATAACAACTCACTTTACCAGCAACAGTCTTTCTTAATGAAATTACTTATAAATCATACTTTACCCGCGACCCGCTAGTCCCGTAATACTGTGACTTTACGTACCCCATTCCATGCTGTGACTCAGACAATTACGCTGATCGATGTTTTTGTATGTTGACCTCCGTACAAAATATCTAAAACGAAAGTATAATTATACATCGGGAAAGTGGATGCCCCAACCTGTCTTCCAAGAGAGTGGAAATGACTCTCGAATGTTAAGGGCAGGGATGTTCGTCGAAAAACTCCAATAAAACTCCTAAAAAAGAGCACTGTGATCGCGATTTAGGCTTAATATTGGACCTCAAAAGTAGACAATCAGTGGACCATGCCCCAACTGCCCCAAAATCTGCAATTTCTACCCTAAGCGAGAAGAACAGAGCATCCCCCTCGTCACTCCTCTGGGAGTCACCGCAGGCAATGCATACATTACTCTCACAATTCATGAGTCCTGCTTTTCACATTAGAGGGTCCACAATAGGTTTGGCAGGATGCGGGATTTGTCTATTTTTCGTGGTGATATTCGGGATATGAGCTGAAAACAGAAGCGGGATGCGGGAATTTTAACAACCAGCGGGAGCGGGATTTCCTATTTTTATGGGGATGGGATTCGGGAATCGTAAGGAAAAAATAGCGGGATACGGGAATTTAGTTTTGTCTTGACTAAAAATTCATTAGCGTTGACTGAAAAAAAAAAAGGTTCTTAGTGTGTATACCGCCTTTGTAGTCAAGCTATGAGTGTCAAAGGAAGTGAAGCCTGTCAAATTATCACTTTTGTGTGTTATTCGTCTTTTCCGGTTTTACTATTTTGGTCGTTTTCGTCACTCGGAAAGAGGTATCAAATCACTGAGGTTTGAAGTGACGTTTGTTAAGATCCTGCACTCATTCCTGTTTTGTTGATGGATTTGACCTTTTCTGCTTTTGCCTGGACGGACCTGTCGGACCTGGACGATCCTTTACGTATCCTTTGGACTGAGCGTTTGCTATTAAAGTAAGTCTGGCCACAGTATGGCCACACCAGAGCTGATAGAGGTGGACAGTGTGGTAGACATCATATATAAATTGTGTGGCTTTATATTACGAGAAAGGTGCCAGTGGTAATGCGTTTCTTCGGAAAGAAAAATTTAGTGTAAAATGGGGTTGACAGGCCTACACGACTCCCCAGCGCGTGTTTAAAATAGCCTTTTTATAGTTTGGCTCTCACGAGTATGTCTTTGAGCGACCGCTCTCTTTTATAAGATACTAGGAGCGGTTTTTTTTATAGATTTCGCTCAGTAATGGTTGTTGTTCTATTAAATGCCAGTTTTTCATGAGAATTTGCTTTAGGTTAGGCACTGATGGTTGGTATTGTGTGACAAAAGGCAAGATTCGTTGGTTTGTCTTTGGTTTCTGTTGAAGGGCTAGTTTCCTGTCTTTGAAGTTCACCTCTGAGAGGGTTGTGTTAATAAGATCCTCTGGGTAACCCCTCTGTAGCAGATGC